TATTACTAGTTGTTTTTGTATATTTTATTTTGCTTTGTTATTTTTATTTATATTTCCATACCATCTGTCACGTTGTCAAAAGAAGTGTATTTAATATAAACCTGAAGTTGTATCTTTTCACAGTTGATGTTCTGGCATAATATGTGTCACATTACTAAATTGTTCAAATGCATGTAACTATATATTATGCGAAATTTATTTTACAAAATGTAATTCCACTACATATTTTCTTATTCTTTTTATATCTTTGATATACTACTTCTCAATGAACAGTAGTTTGAGTTATATTTGACTAATTTTCGGGCTTGTATGTTGTGGTACATCATATTTTGTAGCAGAAAATAGCTTAACACATTCATTTTTATCTTTATTTTTTCCAGTAACAAAACAAATGATCTTAAACTATTCTCTTTAGTTATTGTTCTTCCAATTTGATAACTAGATATTGTTTCTCGACTCAATATAAGTCGTGTAAATTCATTTTTATTTATTTACTTGAAGAACAAATATTTTATCTGACAGTGATTTTAATAGTTTAATTGATGTTCGGACATCTCAATATTTGGGGTTTATGAATTACTAGTGTTTATATCATTTTCAAAAACAGTTCATATATTCTAAACTTATCCATTATTTTCATCGATTCTCCCATAAATCCTTTAATGAATTCCTTATTGTTTTGAAGAAAAGAAATAAAAACTAAATGTCAACTCTTTCAGAATCAAATACTTAAATATAGTAAACACACTGAATTCTAAATTGTATTATGACAAGGTAAATTAATACAGTATTAACTATAGTTAATAAATGTATATTAACACCAAAAGTACACAAACAAAAATGATTAAGAAAACACAATTTATATTCAAGTAATTTAGATCAAATAATGTTAAGAAAAATCAAAACACACAGGTATGATTAGTATGAGAAGAGGTTTCGTGAATATTTGTTATAACGCTCTGTTTTACTTGGTCTAATGTTATAATGGTTGGGTTTACACGTTTACACGTATGGGACGTTAATTTATCTTAAACGATTATCTAAACTAGATTCCCTCCCAATGTTTATTCTACAGGACTTCAACTCAACACAAATCAAGAACACATGATTAACCCGACCACAACGTAAATATATTTCCATACCAAAACCCGACACAATCCAACAACAATGAACAATCAATAATAAGTGAGTGAGTCATAATAATACGAATAGAGGAATATATAACTCATCAGACATCTGTCAGACTATCTACATGTCTGACTAAGCAGACAACTAATCATTATTATTCTCGCCCACATCATGAGTCAATTGAAGCTAGACCACCATGGAAAACCTCGAAACACTGGACAGTCGTTTCGTCCTAGTATGGGACTCCTTAGTAGTGGGCATCCACTATCCCACCTCGCAAGATTCGAACCCAGGGTCTGTCAGTCTTGCTCGCGAATGCTTAACCACTAGACCGCTGAGCCGGCATCCAACGGTGTTAATTTCTAACTTCAAATAATCCACAAAATTGGGCGACACATCCACCACTGTCTTCAGTGGGTTCCTATCTCACAACAGACCCGGTTGAACTCCACTGATCATATAGGTATGAGACATCAGAAGAATTAGTTCATCATAATCAAGATATTTTAAATTTCGAGTTCCATCAACAAGTCAGACTACGTAATTAATTAAAAATAATGATTTGTAACTGATTCAAAAACAAAATTTTGAGTAGGGTAATTATTACAATCAAATAAATCTAAATATAATGGTATATCGTCTATAATTTTGCAGTATGAGGGGAATAGAATGTGACCATCATAAAAATCATAAATTCTAGGGTATTTAATAAAATATTTAATAAAAAATGACACAATTATAAAGCATACATTTATAAAATCAAATACAATATAAGAAGAACTCAAAGATGCTTCATTTATAGATAATTTATGGAAACTTCTGGAAACTGACAACGGAATGTAACTTACTTGAGTTTAAGAAATATGTCTTTACTGAACGAATTTGAAGATAGTATTATATTCAAAGGATAATGAAGGTAAAATAACAATGAGCTTTATTTTAATACGTCAATTTGTAATTTTTGTAAGTGACATGAATTGAAATAATTATGAACATAAGCCAATCTTCGGCTACGTCTGTAAATTGACCACTGTCTGAGACATACTCAGTTTATTGTATGAACTAGTCCCAATCAGGCATTTATTCCTATGACTTAAATAACTAATTAACAGTTCTGAAAAAGTTAATGTACGAAGAATATCTGCTAACGATGAGTGCTAAATAGTGAAGAAAGAACATGACGAAGTATGCATCGTTTAGTACATAATAAGACTAAAGATAAAAGTCAAGCCAATCAGAGTTTTTCTTCTATAGTCTGTCCAGTTTTTATTTTTTATTGATTAGAATGTAGTTCAAAACAATATCCAGGATCTTAGATACAGTGATAGCCATGATACAGATGGTTGCCTGTTCTTACTTTCTATCTTTGTTCTTTAGTGATATTTAAGATATCTTGGTTAAACTTAACAGGTTAAGTTTCACAAACAAGAATTTAAATATTTGAAATGTGTAGAGTTAGAATTTGAGACGAAAATTTCATGGTGGAAATTTAGAGATTGTGGTACTTGAGTGTTTTGTTTTTAGTTAATAATACTTTCTGTGTATATGCGTGATATGATATTTCTGTAATTTGATTAGATTGTAATACTTAGGAAGATATTTGTGCTGTGTCTCAGTAACTGAGTGTTACTAACCTATTAAAAAAGTAAAAGTAGAGGTATTTTATCCTGAATGGTAGTAAACTATGTATACACTGTAGACGATTGATTGTGTAGTTCAAAAAAAGAGCTCTCAAACCTTGAATGATCTGTTTGATGACTGAATCAACTAAGACTTACAGATATTAAATATGTATTGCTCAGACCCATGGTAGAAGACAAAAGTTTGCATACGATTTAAAAATATATTAGAATTGCAAACAAATTTTCGGGTGTGCTCTAAGTAATTTTTTCTTCCACATAAAATTGATTACTGTTACTCTAAATATGTTAAATAATTCTTACAGCTTCTACCTGAATTTATTCAACTACTACAAACTAAATACCAGAAGTGAATTACTGTACTATACGTACACAGTTCACATCATGAAATGACTTCAGCTAGACAATCATAGACAATCAGAGAGTACTGGTCAGGTGTTGCTCAACACTGATTATCTAAAACTGGTAAACAAGTTGAAATAAAATTTCAGGATGCTCAATGAATGTAGTATATTTAGATTAGTGAATGGAAATTCAGTAGTTCATATTTTTAGCTTCCATCAGTTATCTTATGGATATAACAATCATAAAAGAATGAAAAAAAAATATGTTAAAATCTTCCATTTTAAAAGATGTTCGTTCATCAAGGAAAGAATAAGAAAGAACAAATAGAAACATTATTGATTAATAAATGGATTGATTCTAGTAAACTTGAAATTTTAGAAGTTTTATAGTTTATTCTTTAAAATATAAATTGTTGATTAATATGAATAAGTGATTTCTATAACACTCAAAACAGAATTGTTACAATAAAAATATCTCTAAAATACAACAGCAACAACAACAATAACAACAAAAGTGAGCAGATTGTTACGTTGTCATTCTTGTTTGTTTGTTTGTTTTAATAATACAAAAATGTACTAATGTACATGAATGAAGTTAAACAAAGTATTTTTGAAATTCAAAATTAGTTCAAATTTGACATTGAAACTGAACAAAGAAACATATTGTCTTGATTTTCTCTATTTTTTTCTTGTTAAATTTTTCTTTCTCAAAGATTAAATTTACAAAAAAGAAATATATATACCTTCGTAATAAGAGAAAAGAAATGTCACTTTAGGAAAAAAGTGTATCCGTTATAGGTTGATTCATTACTCTTTTTTTCTCTCAAAACACTAACAGTGACATATAACTAAATTTCACTGATTGAAATCATGAGTCGATTGAAGCTAGACCACTATGACCATCCAGTGCTTCCAGGTTTTCCGTAGTGATCTAGCTTCAATTGACTCATGATTTCGATCAGTGAAATTTCTAAAATCTCCACAAAACCCATTCTTATAATAATAATCACCTGCTCACTAGTGACTGACTTTAGGAGATACTCCTGGAGTTCTAGTGAGATAGGAACTCATTGAAGACAATGGTGGATGTGTCGCCCAATTTTTGTGGATTATTTGAAGTTAGAAATTAACACCGTTGGATGCCGGCTCAGTGGTCTAGTGGTTAAGCATTCGCGAGCAAGACTGATAGACCCTGGGTTCGAATCTCGCGAGGTGGGATAGTGGATGCGCACTGCTGAGGAGTCCCATACTAGGACGAAACGACTGTCCAGTGCTTCGAGGTTTTCCATGGTGGTCTAGCTTCAATTGACTCATGACTTCAACCAGTAAGGTTCCTAAACAATCTCTTAATATAAAATATGAAAGTATTTAATATTATATTAGAAAGTATTAAAGAACTAATTCAATATTAAATTTGATTTAGCCTTACATTACTATATAATTATAAGTAGTTATATACCACAATAAGACGAAATGTCTGTCCATTGCTTCCAAGTTTTCCACGATGATGTAGCTTCAATTGACTCATGATCCAAACCATTGAAAAAAAAGTTTTTGTTTAGTTTAACATAAGTAAATATTCTCTAAAATCACAAAATTATTTATCTTTATTTCTTTAGTCAAATCACACATTCCATTGTATTTATTCAATAAATTTATATAATATACCAATGATATAAACATACTACAAAGAAATATGTGTCATTTTATTCACTTATAACACAAACATACATGAATCAGTTTGTTAGTTTTGTATAGATTTTAAAACTACCAATAACTTGTATAAATATCCGTCTAATATATTCTATGCTCAATAAAAATGTTCATTTTTTGTGTTTGGAATATTGAATTGATATGATACATAGTTTATAATAACAACAAGAGAAAAAATATATATAAATATATATAATTGTAATCGGATATTAAAGAATTACATTCAAGGGATTAGGACAATAATAAATAAACAAAATAAAAAAATAAAAAAAGATTATCACTATGGAGAAATTTATTGAGATATTTATGAAACTTGATAGTAATAATAATAATAATAATAATGGTGGATTTATTGAGAAAAATGAACTTATTCAATATTGTGAAAAAGAGGATATGGATATGCGTATGGTCAATGTAAGGTGATAATTTTATACAAATGATATATATATATATATATATATATATATAGTTTAAAAGTTTTACTTGTATATCTTTAGTAATAATAATAAAATGATTCTTAAATCTGTCATTTATTTCAAAGAATTCACTAGAAAATTGTTTAATAATTGAGTCAATCATAAAAGTTTATTTAATTATAAGAGTTTGTATATTTCAGTTATTTGTATTCTTTATTTAATTGAATAATTCATTGTTTATGAGAAATAGGATTCCTGAATGGATACCTTGACATTATATGATATGGTAGAAGAAAATTAAAGAGTCTTGGAAACAACAAAAAATTTTATACTCGTTAAATAGAAAAAAAATATGTAGCTGTAATGAACTGTTGGATAATTTGCTAGTTTTTTTTAAAACATTTGATACTAAGTTCAAGTTACAATGTGGATGTTAATAATCAGATAGAAACACGTTCATTTGATGTGTTCTGAATAGGATATAATCACTGTCTTATTCCTTATTGCTATGCACTAATCCGAATATAAAAAGATAATAGAATTATTTTGATTCAAGCATTACTTTTATTATTTCTAAAAACCATTAGATTTGAGTTATGTCACCATAATATACAGTGAATTTATAAAGTGGATAACTAGTTATTATAAATTCACATTGTCTTATTTGTTAATTTATTTACTTTTTGGTTAATTGTGTCACAGGATATGAAACAAACATTCTTTAACATTCTTTATGGTTGACATTAAATAAAGTATAATTGACATAATAACAATTATACTAGTGCTATTACTATTAATCATAATAATTTAGATAGTGATTATACGACTGCAGTTATTATGTATATAAGAATTAGTTCCAAAAGTTTAGTTTGAAAGTTTTATCTTAATGTAATAAGAAGACGAAGATTAACAGAACTATGTGATATATTAGCGCAATACACTTAGAACAATCTGATCACACATATACTTGTTAAGAACATTTATACATGAAGATTTAAAGATCAACTAGACAGGTTAAAGGTAAGCCGTAACAAAGAAAAAAATGTAATATTAAAGTACACAAAAACAAGTGTGATTGCCACTCTGGATAATAAACCAGTATTACCAGGGTAGGTTAAATGTAAGTACAAATTGTTTTCAACACATAAAGGTGGTTTCAATTTCCTTGTAGCCAAGGCTTGAATAAACCTTAGTATACATCTTTGAAAGCTTTTGGATAACACTACAAATGCTTACTTGATGTCAACCTTATGACCAGTCTCAATTAAATGTTTCGCAATGGAGGATGATGTTTGTCTATCCTGTGATCTTATTTCACCATTGGAATCCACTTGTTTCTGCAGCCGTTTGGGTACGTGTTCATCCACCGTTAATTGTAAATCACGATTGCTCCTCCTTATGTACGTGTTTTCGCACATACATGTAAATTGATAGACATAATGGGATGTGACATAATCGCTTTCGTGGTGTTTCCGCTTTTGGTGAAACAAAGACCTTGTCTTTTCGATAATGACACGTTGGGCTGAATAAGATGTCCTGTCGATAGCTAATTTAAGTCTCCGTTTCAATATGAGACTATTTGTGTGGCGTCTGAATGGTAACGTAATATAAACTCGCATTTTGCGTGCCAGAAGCGTCATAGGTCTAGTCGTATTGCAACCTTTCCAGAGGTTTATGAACTTCAATATATAACCATTATTCATTAACTTATCAGCCAAGAGCTTCGTCTCTACTTCAGTAGTATCACTAGTACAAATACTATTTGAAACCTAATCACTATGGCTAATAAGCCTATATTACTAGGGTAGGTTTAATGTGAGAACAAACTGTTTTTGAATACCTAATTTTGGTAAGCACAGTGGGATGTATTTACCAATTTAAATGTGTGTGTAGTCACATATACGTAGGGAGGAGCAATCGTAATTTCAAAATTAGGATGTGAGAACATGTACCGAAATGGATGCAGAAACAAATAGAATCAAGTGACCTAATAAGAATAGAGGATATACATCCATCATCCTGTATTGCTAAACATATAATCGAAACAAACCATAAGATTGATTTTAACTCGGCTTTCGTGATGTTGTATAAAAGTGTAAATGGGTGTATACTAAGGTTTATCGAAGCCTTAGCCATACGAAAATTGAAACCCGCTTTATGTAATCAAAAACGCTTTGTTCTTACCTTAGACCTACCCTAGTAATATTGGCTTATTAGCCATAGTGATTAGGTTTCAACTTGTGTTTGCATTATTACTATTACTCTTATTATTATCAGCCTTGTCTCCTCTTACCCCATTTTCATTGCGTGTTCATGGAAGCCCTTCGTGAAAAATAGTTTAGTTACATTAACCAAATTACCTCCTCCGTCTAATCCTCTGTGACGAACCGCTAGACCTTATACTCCCATTTCTCCAACACACAAATTTAATATACGAATTCTGATCTCTGCCCGTATGCGAATCTCTCACGACATAATGACTGTAAGTCGATGTTTCGAAAGTTGCGATAGCGGCCTTTAACACTTCAACTAATGGGAACGCAACGAAAAACAATGTTGTCAAAAAAACTTCCTCCGTTTCCGTGACGTCAGAAACAAGTACTGATATTTTATAACAATTTTCAGGACATAACTAACCAGTTAAAACGAATTTTAAAACTAGCCATTTCATTGGACGAAACAATGGATGAAAAGTTTTGTAATTTTGGGGTGGAAAATCTTTTTCAGTGGGGTGGGGGAGAAGTTAAAAAAATTTCAAAAATTGCCGGGTGGATAATAGAAATCCATTTTCAGTCTAGCTGACCTTTTATTTTTATATTTAAATGTTCTTAATAAGTATACATGTGATCAGATTGTTCGAAGTGTATTGCGCTAATATATCAAATAGTTCTGATAATCTTTGTCTTCTTGTTGCATTATCGAAATTTATCAAAGTGACTAATTGCTTTAAAGTTTTATGTTAGATTAATGATTTGATCTTAGTGGATGAAAACAGTATCATTGAATATCTTTAAAGTATATTGTTAAAGAAACAAACAATTTAAAAATAAGTTTTGTTTCACAGGAAACAAAAACATAGTTTTTCATAAGTTAGTGATTAATTATTTTTTATGAATTATGTAATAGAAGTAATTTATTTGAATCGGTAAAACGATCATAAAACATCCATTTATAAGTGATAAATCAAAGTGGAAACTTGTCATAAATTAACCTTATTTTCTTAGTAACAACGATCATATGCAAGTTAGTAACCAGTTTTTGAATGAACTTCTGGAGTTCTGATGAAAGGCTAAGATACACCTAACACCGATATCATTATTAATAGTTTTGATGCTTAGGCCACTGGGTTCTGAACGATGACCACTAAACTTATATACTTAAGGTAATATTTATAGTCTGGTGCTAACGAGTTTTAAACTAACATATGACAACTGGTGAATGCCTACCAAATTTCAACAGTATAGACCTTGACAACAACCTGTTTACTAAGACAGGAAGATTGAATAATTAAGATCAGTCTTTTAATCGTCTTAAGTTATTTCAAGTGAACCTTAATTGCAGGAGGTAATTCAAAGAGTTATAATATATTCAAAATCTGAAGCTGTATCTGTATGAAACGGGTTTACCAGTTATTTTATATCTTATATCACCTTAAGTTTAATCAGTCAATGTTCACTTCTATCAACTTTCAGTTATTGATTGTTCTCTTAGTACGCCTTATACTCCCCTTCATTTCTGTCATCTCTATATTGTAATGTTATGACCGAATTTTATTAATATCTCTGATGTTATGATTTAAAATGGACTGTTCGGTTAAGGCTTATTTATTGTTTTGATTTAAACTTTGAATTTGTAACTGGTATGAAATTACTGAGAAGAATATTAGTTGTTTTAAAGTGACAAGAATTTTTAAAGAACCATTTTTATTAAGCAATTTTTAGTACATTAAACTAAATATATAATAATGGAAATAATGATTTCCGATCAATTTTCATTGTCCTTCAAATTATTGATGAAAAGGAATAGCCTAGTTTAAGCTAATTATTTCTTTTAAAATCTGGGGTATACGTTTAGGGTTTTTGGTAAAACAGGTATATCAACATATGTATATGTGGAACTGGTCGTGTGTATTGTATACTTGAATCAAGTTAAAGGATACTTAAACTTGTGAGCCTATTAAATGGAAAGCGTAGGTCGAGAGGAAGAATTATGTACTTACTAGTTATATTCAGTGGTCATCGGGAGGTTGTATAACCTTTGAAATCAATCGTGTGAGAGATAATCAAATAAGTCTACGTACTAAATAAATTGTTTGAATATACAGGAAATAATTAATCATAATTGTGGAAACGGATGCAATTTCTGAAATGTATAGAACATCAGGTATGTTAGAAATGAATGATGAGTGACTTATTAAACCTGACGGAGGCCAAGCAAGGAAATGAGTCCGAGAATCCATCTTTTAAACACATAACTCTGATCCTTAAAATCTTATAGCTTTGAGTCTATTGTTTGAAGACCTCTGACATGACTAATTTGACAAATGATCATCAACACATTAGACTACCAAAACGTACCAATTAACATTGGTTGTATAAGCCATTTTGACTAGGTGAGTTAAAATCGACTATATTCGCTGTTTTAAATTCATTTGTCTCCAATCATAATGGCATTTTTCAAGTAGCATAGACAGGTGAATTTATTGAACATTAGCTAACGGAATTTGTTCCTTTTAAATATTTTTCATCCATAACTTTAAAGTCTTTTTGCGGTAAATTTGATTATAGTAAAAAGTATAAAAATATTATAACAAATTCCTACCTTATATTCATTCAAAAAACATTTTTCAACTGCGATTAGCTACCATTCGTCTGCAAAGATTGTCGATAAGTTCTGCTTCTGTGACGTTATTTTTTATCGTATGATTTATATTTGATATATAAATTCCAGTGTAACCGTATCTTATTTCTTCAAAGGATTAACAATTAGGAAGAAATATCAATCATTATCCTGGTTCAGCTTGAATTTCGAACAATTTGAATTAACGGTCTGTTATGAACTTTTTGTAAAAGTGTATGAGTTCATGATATAGTTAAAATACGTACTTACTTTATAATAATCGGAAAGCGAGAAATTCATTGTCATATTTACGTAGTTGGCTATCAAGACTCAGTAGATAACGTGATAATGTTTGGATCAAACGGTTCTGGGTTCGAGTCTCGGAGTGAACATCAACTCTTGGACTCAGATACATCCAGCTAACGAGTCCCGTGTAGGAAGAAATATGCGTCATGGATTCTAATGCTAGCCATCATTCACCCTCGTTTATAAATGTCAAAGACGTTTGAATCGGCTTTCCCTAGGGTTTAAACACGTTTATTTGACGTACTTGTATTGATATTTGTAAGTTTAATTCAAATATTCACTCATTTCTTTGTTTTATTTTTGTTGTTGTTGTTATTTTCATATCTAGGAATGGTTAAAACCATTTAATTTTAATTCACTTGGTAAAATATCATTCAGGGAGTTCTGTGTTGTATTCGGTTTACAATATGAAGAAATGTAAGCAAATGAGCTATTTTCATATCATTATAAATGATGATTCTATTTTTTGGAAAATATTTTTTTACTTTCGATGAGAGACTCTGTTTTTATTTACATTTCTATATATATCACTAAGTAAAAGTAAACAATAACAAGAGTTTAGCTATTTGACAGAAATAAGCATGGCGCTTTTTCAACATATTATTTGTCATACCATAGTAGAAGAATTTTCTTTGAAGGATAACGTAATATTTGTGTTATCAGTTTGTTACTTAAGTATATATTCATTTATTAAACATCGTCTGCATACTACTGGTATAACCCACTAGTTGATTAAGTATTTATTGAAAACGTTGATAATAAGACTTACTTGCTTACTTACTTAATAATGCCTAACACTCCCGAAGGAGCACAGGCCACCTACCAGCATTCTCCAACCCACTCTGTCCTGGGTCTTCCTTTCTAGTTCTATCCAATTATTGTTCATTCTTCTCATATCTGTCTTGATTTCTCAGCGTAATGAGTTCTTTGGTCTTCCTCCTTTCCTTTGACCTTGAAGATTCCAAGTAAGAGCTTGCTTTGTGGCGCAGTTAAGTACTTTCCTCAATGTGTATCCTGTCCACTTCCGGCGCTTCTTCTTCCGCTGAGATCCTGTTTGTTTGCTCCCATAGTAGGTTGTTGCTGGTAGTGTCCGGTTAACGGATTCGAAGTATTTTGCGTAGACAACTGTTAATAAACACTTGTATCTTCGGGATGATGGCTTTCGTAGTTCTTTAGGCTTCCGCCCCATACAGTAGAATTGTTTTGACGTTTGTATTGAAAATTCTGACCTTGGTGTTGGTTGACAGTTATTTTGATTTTCAAATGTTATTCAGTTGTAAATATGCTGATCTTGTCTTACCGATCTGCACTTTCACATCTTCATCAGATCCACCGTGTTCATCAATGATGCTGCCCAAATATGTAAAGGTTTATACATCTTTCAAATCTTCTCCGTCAATTGTGACTGGATTGGTGCATGCTGTGTTGTATCGGAGAATCTTGCTTTTCCCTTTGTGTACGTTGAGATCTACTGCTGATGAGGCTGCTGCTACACTGGTCATCTTCTCCTGCATCCGTTGTTGTGTGTGCAATAGAAGATCCAGATTATCTGCGGTGTCTAGATCGTCCAGCTGCATTCTAACTGTATCCCATGTTTCCCCTTAGACGGTGACGTCTTCATGATCCAGTCGATCAACAGGAGAAAGCGAAAGGATGAGAGTAAGCAACCTCAACTGACACCGTTCTTTACTTCGAACGAGTTTGTGACATGTCCTCTATGCGCGATTTTGCAGTTTAATCCATCATAGGAATTCCGTATGACATTGTTGGCCAGAATGATACTTACAGTTTCATATTTAAAGCATCCAAAGGAATAAAATTGTAACACCATTAATAAATCAGGCTTTTCATTTCAATAGTCTTCTGAGTAGCTTAAAGGAAAGTTTCATAATCTCAGATGAAAAGTGTTTTGATGTATATATTTAGTTTTATGTTACAACTTTGACATACATAAATGTTAAGCCTAAAAATAGATTTTATCAACAGGGATTGTGTCAATTCAAACCATACAAGCTTGTCTTTGTCCAAATAATATTTTAAACCAAAAATACGATTGATGGGTATTTATAACTTATATCATCATTAAGGTAAGAATGTTCCCCATCAGTTTTCTTGTTTATTTCAACACTGAATCAGAATTAGCTAATTTGAATATCAATAAAATTCATTTCGTAGTGAATTATTTCAAATGAATGTTTCATCAAAGATGAACTAATGTAAACATATTATTTCTTTTTATTTCTGTCGAAAAAAAGAAACAATGCTGCAATAAACGTAATTCTTCTGTTTTTCTTTATCAGGATTATGGAAAAGAAAGATCGAGAGAATATGGCTGATGGTTTATCACCTAAACTAGATTCAGACATTACTATTTTTTCCACTTCAATGTCTTTACAAAAACAAGTTGATATAACGAATGTATTTAAAGAAATGTTGAATAAAAAGTATACTGATGAAAAATCAATAATTGTAATAGTTAATGATATTAAAAAATATTTAGATGAGAAATATGGTAAATTATGGCAAGTATTCATAATTGATGGATCATTCTGGTCAAATTATAGCCATGAACCATTTTTAGCTATAGAATTCATGTATGATAAATTTCGTTGTGTAATTTGGAGAAGTCCAGTAGATTAAAAATTTTTTTAAAACAAACAATAAAATGATAATAAACTTTGTATTTCATAATATTTTGTATTAAATAAAACAAAAATTCAGTTCTTACCAATAAGAACCTTGGTTATGATACTTGCCAACTCATTGAGTTCTTACTAATAAGAACCTTGGTAATGATACCTACCAGGTGATTTAGTTCTTATGTTTATGTATTAATTTTATCAGAAATATTTCCAGACAAATAGTTTTTAAAATACAGAAGAATTTTATTATCGTCAGCCAAGAAAAATATAATGACCTGGTTCTGATGTTTTGTTACCTTCAATTGACTTGTTTATATGATATATTTTAGTTATGATCATAAAAGAAGCAGGACAGTCAGTTAGATTAATATTTCAGTAATCGTGTTAAATTTTTTGATTGAGATCATGAACTGATTGGTGTTAGATCATCGTTATAAACCCGAAAGTACTGAACGGCCGTTTCGTCCTATTGTGGAACTCCTCAGCAGTGCACATCCAAGATTCCTCTCGCGGGATTCGAGCACAGGGCCTTTAGTCTCGCGCATGAACGCTTAACCTACTGGACCACCGAGCCGGCATCTAATGGTGTTAGTGTCGAGTAGAGACAGGTGTCTACTTCAGTACAATGGAAGATGGTCGCGTAATTTCGTGGATTGGTTGATGTTAGACAACAACGCCAGTGGGTGCCGGCTCAGTGGTCCAGTAGGTTAAGCGCTCGCGCACGAGACTGAAGGCCCTGGGTTTGAATCCCGCGAGCGGGATCGTGGATGCGCACTTTTGAGGAGTCCCACGATAGGACGAAACGGTCATCCAGTATTTCGAGGTTTCCAACGGTGGTCTAACATTATTCGGTTCATGATCTCAATCAAAAACTTAATAATCTCCACCACCACTATACTGATAATCATGTTAAAGTACGTCATATGTGATGAAAACATAATGTACTAGAAAATAATTTCTTATCAGAAGTCATAAAACTAAATGAACAAAGAATTCTGATGGTATGTTATAATGAAAATTAGAGAAATGATCTATTTGCTATGTGATAATTCTCAATGCAACTTGAGAATCATGATAAACAAAAATGAATTCATATAATTTGTATGGATATAAGTATGACATTCGGAAAATTTCTATATTTGTTTAGAATAACTCAGGTAAAAATGAAATATTCAAGTTGTGTGAATAAAAGCATTTAAAGGATTATTATTACTGAACAATTTGTTTGCATCTACTTTGATAAACCAAAATTTTAAAAATACCTCAATTTGGTGGAATTATTTGAAATCCCCCTTTCATCAACAAAACAAACTTCAATAAGTATTCATAGGTTTATGTTTTTGTACAGGTAACTTCTTTAAAATAAATACCAACCAAACTCTGGATTACATTTAGTTTATGCTGCTGAAGTTTTGATAGGAACTGTTATAAAAAACTTTATATTCTAAAACTAATCACCGTATAAGTTTGAAGTTTACGAGTTAAGCCAAGTAGGGTTTTTACTGAGAACTGTAATCATGTTTTATGTTATTCAGTTGAGTACTTTCTGGAAAGATTTGAGCGGTTGATGTTAGCAGTTAGTATTCTTGATATTAGGTCAAATAAAAAATGTAACATGTTTAAGAACTAGACATTAAATAACAATGATTAAAATCATTCTATCAAGTAATTCAATTTGGTCAGAAATATCGCATAGCGTCATTTTGACTACGTATATATGAATATTGTTGTTAAGAAACAGAACTCTTGCACTTCTGACTTGTTAAACTTAAAAAGCGTGGGAGCTTTTCCAACATATTAAAAAACATTTTGTGGAGAAGACTCAATAGTGGGTTCTTTACAAACGACCGGAATGCCTAGCAATGCTTGTTCCCCACAGAGGTGGGATTGGCTGTAAAATGCTAACCCTACAAACAACACACTTTGTCTTGTTCGAGGAATTTAGGTTATCAGTGATCAGGTTTGGAAAGCAAGGAGCTAATACAATAAAATCTGTTCATAAAGTGGGTTTATGACCAGCTTCAAGCTACATTTTGACCTAGTTATTTATTCTATGTAAGTGTGTGTGCATTTCCTACATTACTCATCACATGTCTGTAAGTTATTTTTATCCGACTATAAATATCAATTAACGCTTGAATAAATTGAGTCGGTTCACATGCCTCCACTGCGCGTCATCTCACTTCGCTCTCTTCTCTTCCTTCGTTCCGTTCCTCTGATTGTCCAGATCAATGAGTGTACAAAATATACATATTCAAAACTTCATTCTCATATTTGACTTATTTAATTCTGTTGTTCACCAACGCCTGTTAAGTCGATAATTATATACGAGAGTAGTCAGGATGTATATTTTGACAGCAATCATTCAATGACTATCAATCATGCGATCTAACTGGAGTCAGACCTCGGGTAACTAAATATTCATCCACTTGGGTGGGTAGATGAGCAGCGCTCCCTTCGGATGTATCTGATACAACTGGCTGTCTTTTTCGCATTACGTACATACCACTAGCACAGAGGCTTTTGTTCGTACACCTCGTGACATATATATATATAAGTATAAGCACTCTCTTGGGGGAGGGTTGATAATCATCTCTCCCTAGTGTTTGTTAACATTTTCTATTATGTCTTGGTTTTGATGGTTTAGGCCCCTGATTTCATTAAACATAGGCTAGAATTGTTTTCAGCTTACGTTTTTTTGCGAGCCCAGAGCCTACTCTTTGTGATTACTAGGATATCATAAAAATATTATTATTATTAACTTTTTACTCAATTCTCAGTTTATTTGAAAAACCTATGGTTTGATAGTTTGTTCAGTTCTTGACAGTCAGATATATGTCAATCAATGTATAATTAATGTGTTTGATAGTTATAGGTTCAGGATGATCTGCTGGTAAAATAATATTAGAAGGAAATCATCATCCTCAAGTTGCTGACGTTCACTTTATCGTTCAGACACTGGCTCAGAATTCAGCATTTGAAATTCACTTCACGATGCATAGCTAATATCATTCAATATTACTGGTTGGCATTCGCTTGAATGAAGAAACAGTTAAATCCCTATAAAACATGATTTATTTTAACAGATTCAAGTTGTCCAGCTTATATCAGGTCATTAGTGAATACTGAATTAATGCACTCAAAGATGGTATCGGTTGATACTGTTTGGTCGAAATTAAAATTTATGAAACGAGCTCACTTTAAAATTTGGAGGTCCGAGGACTGGTTTTTCGAAGAATTTTAAGTTTCAACTGATAACAGATAGATATTCAATTCCTCTGGTTTTTAGTTGTTCTACACCAAATATCAATTACAATGAAAACGATTTTAAACTTCGGTTAGACAATTGTCTTATAATGTATAGATTACTCATTTGAGTGTGAAAGTAGTGTCAAATATTCACGTAATATTTTCTTAAATATTTTGATATGAAGTTGAATTTCAGAATGTCAAGCATTACATATCACATTTCATTATTTTCTTTATTGTGTCGGATGAAGAAAGCAATGAAAAATAATGACGGACATTAACTGATAAAAATTGGGATTCTTTACACTTTTATCCAGTCACATTTTCAAAAGAGTACTTCAGGGTCATCACTGACTAAAATGAAATTTTACTACGATTTATATGAATTATGGTCGTCGTGGTTGATGAGGGTAAATGTTTATCTGCTTAATAGCTGTTTAACTCCATAGAATTTTTAGTTTTATCAAACCACTTGACGATTCAATCAATTAGTTACACCCGTGCCTCTACGACAGGAGGTCATACTTTCGAATACAAAATATGCTCTATCAAATATTCTTGAATCGAAACAAAACTACTCTCTGATTCTTCCTAATTTTAATTGCTGCTTGCATAATGTCAGTTCGGGACAAAAAAGACATATCCTACACCATAATTTTTATTGTTTACGGACTTATAGAATTAAGGAATTTGATATTAAATGCTAATCTGATTGCTGTTTTGTTAGTAAATTCAACGAAGACAAAACTTATGAAATGCAAAAATGACAGTAAGTGTAGAATTTTACCGTCCACCTGTTTTTTACTATTTTATATTCCTTCTTTCTTCATCTTCATAGAGTTTCTTGTCACGTATTTGAGGAAACGATGAATGTCTTCATTTGGTTTTTGATGTTGACTGGTCACACTTGTCAAGATATTATAGAACCCATCCGACTAACAAAAAGGTAATACAAGTCATTAAACTTAAGATGGTTATTCTTTATATACGACTTTGGCATTACTCATTTATGATTCGATTCTACTCTTATTTCCTAATTAATGTGGCAAATTGAATAGTTGTGCATCCGAATTAAATTTAGTGTGACCTTTGTTAAAATACTAAATTATGTAATAGTGCAGTAATGAGAGAAGACAAAGATACTTCGCGAGTGGTTATTAACACTAGACTCTGAAAAACAAGTGCAAATCTGATTTACCCTAAGATCACTTAAAGATGTATTCTTACTTGATAAGCTTCTATCAAGTGATGCACAAACTTTAGGACAACTCAGAATACCTTAATAATGTAAGTGTAAAATTACAAATTAAATGTAATCTTACGTTTCAGGGATCAAATCAAAGTAGGTTGTGCACAACTTGTTATCTTAGAACTCGAAGATATATACATATGTACACATTTTAGAGGAGCTAGTGGACAAAATATTTAATATCGCTATGGATAGTTTTATTTAAATAACGAATTAACGTATTGTAAATATAATGAAGGAAGCTCTCTATATTCGTAGACTAAATTCTTAGTAACTTCAAAAATACCAAACCATGGATCAAGGAATAGGTAAAAGTTGAAAATAAACTGCTGAGAAATCACAGTACCTTTAAATTTAGTGACTCATATGACTGACAGAAACTATTACCAAACATAAGGAAGATTCTACATTAGTTTATGACACGAAATCATATGCTTTTCAATATGCGTAATTTGGATTGTTTCTGTCTAAAGTAAGATGCATATACTGAGTTGAAACAACTCAGTTAGACAGAAATGATATAAATCTAGTATTTGACATTACTTTAGATTGTATTAAGGAAGGAAGAATGTAGCTGTAGATATTTAAGA